TGAGGTTATTCACCTTCCCTTTCTAGGGTTCGCTTAGGGCAGCTGGATCGAAGATGGCCCTTTTCCCCACAGCCATAGCACCTAGGGCTGTATCCTTTGTTGCGGTCGCGTACTGTAGCTGCTGCAACCTTCCTGATGCGATGGGAACTTACGTATATAATAAACAGTTGCCGGACTGTAAGAACTTTGGAAATTTTATAAAGTTGACTGGTTGGAAATAGAGTTACTTATTTTTAAGATTAACCTTTGTGATCTTTCGAGGGGCAGAAGAGATGATTTGGTAGCCCCACCCCAGCACGTAATACAATATATTATTAAAGATTGGCATAGAGAAAAGTAGACAGATTTAATAGTGTTAGAATCTGCTACGCAACGGAGTTTTTTTAAATAGTTAATATATATAATAGTTTTTTTTAATTTCCGTATCCTATTTGAGAGTGAATAAATATGATCATGAAAAGTTAGCTTATCATCCAACAAAATGCCAAGGTATTTAATTGAATTCACTTTTTTGCAAAGGTGTACATGAACATGTCAGACAATAAGGAAAATTGCAAGAATGAGCAGTAATAACATGGTCTGTACAGGTTGCATATTTATTATTATATTTGGAGAAGGACAAGTGCTTTGTTTTATCCACGTTAAGGGTTAACACATCCATTTTTTCCTATTTTTTAAACATTACTTTCGTTTCATTATACCTACATGTAATTCGTTTTCGCATTGACGTTACTAAACATCGAACATTTACGATTTATTTATGTTATGTCTGCGAAGCATGAAGCATTGTATCCGGTAAGTACAATTTATATAAGTACCTATTTATTGAACAACTCACGTTCGTTTAACTTGGTCGAAAAATACCACATTAGCACGTTGTCGTCAAAGTCTATGTCAATAGATTATTACATGTCATACAATGTCTAACTATAATCAAAAATAGAATGCTTCAAAGAGTAAATGTACCATGTTACATGTTATTGCGAAGTCAGTCGCGTTAAATTCCATCGTAATTTTGTAAATGTTTACGCATCATGTTTATAGGAGTTGCTATGCACTCATATATACAATCCAAGCTTTAACGACACTTTTTGGATTACCATAGGATTACCATATAACCCCATTCTGCAAAAAATGGCTTAAGGCGTTGAAAAGCACGATTTCAAGTCTTTTCCGATTGTAATCTTGTAATTAAATCGGCAAAGTGCACACGTTGAAGCTCACGAAATATTAATAACTCGGCATTAATAAATCGGACGCAATGATATACGGACGTTGCTGTAAAAGCTTTAGAAATCGACAAACGTAAATCACGCTACACAATAATTTCGACCAGGAAGAGAAACGGTTCGCCAAAGCAATGATTGGATAAACCTCACTCAAAGCACTCACAACCAGAGCGTGCCTTTTCTTTTCCGGTGGTTGAGATACTGGCGAAGGGTCAAAATCAGCTATGGGCAACTGCGAGAGTTCTAAGTGAATCCAAGAAGTTCCTTGAAACCAAAGTGGGTGATCTATAATTTGTATCGGTGTAAGTCCACGAGATAAACAATCGGCAGGATTTTCTGTACCGGGCACATGATAGAAATTCAGTGATCCTAGCTCGTCTTGTATCTTGGTCACTCGGTTCGCGACGAAAGTATCTACATGGGGTGAAGAATGAACCTAACATAGAGCGACTGTTGAGTCGGAAAAGGCAAATATTTATCATTTAATCTATGTGAATTTGATCATAATATGCACTAGTAACTGCGGTGATAAGTTTGGCACGAACCAAAATTGCGCAAAGCCCTAGGCGCGCGAGATTGATAACCTTAGGAGGGGAGACCCTTGATTTAGAGCTAATGAAGCCGACTGAATTCCTCCATTGTTCTGGACGTGAAAATATACAACGCCCCCGTAAGCCTTTTCACTAGCGTCTGCAAACCCAACGATAGTGACGACGCTATCTTTACCGATGTTTACATGACGTGGCGTCTTAATTTCATTTAGTAAAGAGAGTTCCTCCCTAAAACGTAACCACGAACGAATGATGTTATCGGGTGGCGTGTCATGTCAATCACATTCATATAACCAAAGTTGTTTAATCAAAACCTTTGCGTACAACACCACTGATACGTTTCCCATACAATACGAGCAACTGCCACCCAGGACAATGCAATACAACAGTATATCTGTTTGTCATGCTCGTCGGACGCCCGCGGCCTTCGCGGCTGTCCAGAGCATGCAGCGGGAATGCCTAAAGACAATACCGCGGTGGACCGCGGTATTGTCCTTAGGATGCACAACTCTGTTCTAAACAGAGATTTGATAAAAACAACTCTGGAGTTTATTCGAATTTTTATAATAAAGCGACTTTTTGCCCATTTAAATATTTTACACGGTGGATTGAAAAGTACTCGGCCTAACACAGATCCATTCAATTCTAAAAATCAAATCTACCCACATTATTTAGTTCAGTTCAGACTAGTTCATTGTGTGAAGTTCGAAACGTGTGCGATAATTAGTTGTGATTTTATAAATTTATTAACAAAGTAATCGGACATAATTTCCGCGAATGGAGCAAATCGAGCAGCGTGCCGTCATTAAGTACCTCCATAAGAAGGGGCTATCATCAAAAGCCATCCATGACGACATGGTCAGTACATTAGGCGATTGTGCTCTGTCATATTCATCCGTCAAAAAATGGATAGCAGAATTTAAGCGTGGTAGAGAGAGTGTGAAAGATGAACCCCGCTCTGGAAGGCCTTCGACGTCAATTACTGACGAAAATATAAAAGTACTTGATTTAATAATGGGAGACCGCAGATTAAAAATTAGAGAGATAGCCGAGATTATAGGAATCTCTTATGAACGAACTCAAAACATCATTGTCAACGAGTTGGGTTTCCACAAGGTGTCTGCGAGGTGGGTTCAGCGACTTGCTTTCAGTTGAACAAAAAAAGGACGCGATTGACTATTTCACGCGACTGTTTGGAGTTATTTGAAGCCGATGCAGATGATTTTTTGAATCGTTTTGTTACTATGGACGAAACATGGGTTCATTACTGTACACCGGAAACAAAACAACAATCAAAACAGTGTAGAAGACCTGGTTCACCACCCCCTAAAAAGGCTAAGTCGATTTTGTCGGCAAATAAGGTGATGGCTTCAGTATTCTGGGACTCGAAAGGTGTGATTATGATTGATTATCTTGAAAGGGGTCAGACTATAAACTCTGATTACTACTGCACCTTACTACGTCATTTACGAGAGGAAATAAAAGAAAAACGTCGAGGAATGCTCAGAAGAAAAGTCCTGTTTCATCAAGATAACGCCCGTGTTCACACGTCAGTACAGTCAATGGCTGAAATTCACAACTGTGGCTTTGAACTGTTACCGCATCCGCCGTATTCACCTGATCTGGCACCATCAGACTTCTTTCTGTTCCCTAACCTAAAAAAGCACTTGGGAGGTCAAAGATTTTCGACAAACGACGAGGTCAAAGCAGCTGTAGACGCATATTTTGACTCTAAGGAAGAATCATTTTTTTTCAACTGTCTAAATGCTTGGAAGGGGAGGTAGCAAAAGTGTATTGAACTTGATGGTGATTATGTAGAAAAATAAAAATATAACTGATTTAGTATGTGTTTATTTTCTTGGTTAGGCCGAGTACTTTTCAATCCACCACGTAATGACTTGTACACCAACGTGTACACCAACAATTCTTTTCTATCCTTCATCATCATCATCTTTACTGTCTGCCGTAAGTCCACTGCTAAGCATAGGCCTCCACCAAAAAATGCCACAAAGCAGGGTCCTGAGCCAGCTGAACCCTTCGACTTCCTGCATATCTTTCAGGTCAGCACTCCATCTAGTGGGAGGTCGCCCTACACTTCGCTTACACGGGTAGCCGGGATATATGTAGCGGATTCCCGGCATGTGCTACTTCGCTAAAAAGGGAAATACATTATGTTTATTTGTTGGAAAAAAAGGAAATTTTGTTTATTTATTAACTTTTTTATATAGACGCTAATGTATCGTTTAATAGTCTAAAATCATCGTCGCAATATTGCCTTTCTAATGAAACTGAAATGAAGGTTTTAAAGTGTATAACGGACTTAGTTAGAAACATTTATTGTTATTTATATACTATATACAGGGTTATTTTGGAATAACTGGCGGAGAAGATGCAGAATAAGTAATATAAGCAAATGGTTAAGAAAATTTTGTAAAAAAAAAATCTCCAAGATTTATCCTTTTTATCTTTTAAATTCAAAATGCGTGGTAATGCATTATTTTAATAAAAATATAAGCCTCATTTACTCGTATTTAAAAAAACTGCAATAACGGAATATCATTATTAATATATTTGAACTTAAGTTAAAAATTTGGCTAATCTTTGAAAAATAACCCTTTATAGATAGATGGAATTTGACAAGAGATGTAGAATTGAAAACAGCGGCTAAAGGAATTCTTTCATTAGAAATATTGTTTATAATATTTGACTGTAAACTATGTTTTGTAATAAGACGGATACACGTTTAAACTTTGAAACTGGTGACGCTGGGCTAAGACGAAATCGTCAACGCGTTCACCTCGCTCTCATAAACAAATATTATTTACTACTAATGAGAAATAAGCAAACAAATCAAAGTAGGTGATCGATTTTTATTAAATGCAAAAATATGATAAAATTAAATGTTCGTGACAGTTCTTATTATAGGCATATAATAAAAACCTCATTTAAATTGAGTTGATTTACTTTTTTTTTTAAACAAATACGACTATAATGTAAATATAATCGAGTTTACGTGGGGAATAAACATAATATTATTACTCTCACAAAATTTAATTATTTATCACCATCTAACCACAACCGTAATAAATATTACATTATTTTCTAAGTTGATGTTTCGTATAAGCATTTTATATCAATAGGTTATTTGAATCGGTGAAATATTATTACAAATATATATTTCAACTTAATAAAAATATTTATAAATTAAATATAAAAATGTCTATCTCCTTGTAAGTCGAATTTGATGTCCATTGATGGGGAATAAGAGTATCTCCATCTTCAATGGACCAATGCCCGTAGCGTTTATTTTGTATGACCGGATTACATTTGAAATAATAGTTTTTGTTATAATCATGCCGAAGTTACGCCCTGTAAAAGAAGTATCAAATTAATTAAAAATTTCAACGACTACCTTCTACCACTAGATACCGATTATTGTATAATTATAGTCTTACCAATACAATTCCTGAGACCATAACTGAAAGGCAAATAAGCAGCGTGATGCCGTCCGTTAGACCTTTCAGGCAGGAATCTGTCTGGATCAAATTCCTCTGCGCTTGGACCCCACTCAGCTTTTGAACGATGAATACCAAACACGCCAATGACCGCACTTGTTCCAGCCGGCAACTTTACTCCACAATGAGCTACAATAACAAGACACCAAGTATTTTCCACGTTTGTATAAAATTAAAAACCCGCACTTAATATTTCCGGGTAACTGAATGAATTTCAATATATAATGAATTAAATAAACATCAATAGAATAAAGAAACGATTCGTTTAAATACAACATTGGGGGACGAGGCTGCTCGCGTCCGTAGGAAATACTTGAAATCTGGCTCGCTACACGTGTCCCCTGGGTAGTGTTAAACGAGCAGCACCAATTCCGGTGGTAGGTTTCGGCCGCTGGCCTTTTGGTTACAACCCACTAACACTAATGCAGTCTTGTCGCCAAATGGCGTTGTCGTGTACTAACATGTTGCTTGGTGAAGCTATATAGAGATTGGGTCTGAACAGTAGCGTTGTGTGTGTGAAACGCGTGCGAAGCTTCAGTTGTTGCTGTGTTGGGTGCTTGGTTATGAAGGGTAGCGGGATCCGAAGCACGGTGTTCTGCTAGCCAACCGCAGGTAGTTGGGGGCCCAATTAGTGAATCAGTTACTCATGAAAGGCTGCCCCGCCAACTAGTGAAAAACCTCAGGGTGGCTCCATTGTGCCGGTTAGCGACCGGCCGAGAGGACCCGATGGCGATCTCTGGGAGAGTTCGAGGGTCCCCGCAGTCTCCAGATCAAGTTTCCATGGGCGCAGTAGCTCTGGTATTTTTGTTTGGTTGCTAATGCAACGCCTCGTTCAACTATCATTCTCCATCCATATTCCTCTTAACTCTGTTATATGTGTCAAAAAAAAGTATGGCTAAACAGCGGTTGCACGTTCCACCTGACTAATATTCGAGGATTGTACTCTAATCTCAGCGCAGTCCATCACCATCTTGAGACTGAGAAGCCTCACCTACTTTTCTTCACGGAGACCCAAATTGGATGTCTATTGAATGTGGCTTATCCTGGATTCTTCCTGGAGCACCAATTCCATCTACGTGCCAGAGTCTGTGTGTAAGTCCACAATGACATCTGCTTCGAGTTATAAGAAAGTGACCATTTTAACCGGATGACCATATTGGTGGAAACTAAGCTCGAAGTTGGTGACTAGTATGTTTACCTGGGACATGTAGTCTGACTAGGTAAATCCAACTTCGACCGAGAGGTCAAGCGACGGATTTAACTCGGCTGGGCAGCGTTCGGGACATTGCGAATGCACATCTTTTGGTCAGGCATACCTCAAAATCTCAAAACTAGATTGTACAACCAGTGCGTGTTGCCAGTGACGACCTATGGATGTGAGACGTGGTCCTTCACTACCGGCTAAATAAGGACGCTCAAAGTCGCTCAGCGAGCTATGGAGAGGGCTATGCTCGGAGTTTATCTGCGTGATAAACTTAGGAATATCCGCAGTAGAACCAGAGTAACCAACTTAGCCCAACGGATTAGTAAACTGAAGTGGCAATGGCAAAACCAACAACCAATGGAGGAAAAGGTTCCCGAGTGGCTAACTCGTACCGGCAGCGAAGTGTAGGGCGTCCCCCCACTAGATGGAGTGACGACCTGGTAAGACATGAAGGAAGTCGATGGATGCAGGTGGCTCAGGACCGTGCTTTCTAGCTTTCCTTGGGGGAAGCCTATGTTTAGCAGTGGACTTGGGAAGGGCTGTAATGATGATGATGGTGATGATTATAGTTAGTCTGTTTATATTTGCTAAGAATACGATATGATACATCAAGAAAAATACATTTGCAACTTACGTAAATATAACTCTTTGTCAATTTTCCGAGCTACGAGGGGGACTACAGAATATAAACGCATACTTTCTTTTATAACTCGCTCTAAATAATTCATGTTGTTAATATCGTCTTTATTCACTTTTCGTTTTGACGTGCCGAATATTGCTTCTTGTCTGTAAAAAAAGTGTGTACATTAAATACAACAATACGTTTGCCGTGTAATGGCGTCAAAAAACCCATCATCCTATCTTGGCCCGTGGGTGTCGTAAGAGGCCACAAAGAATTGCTAGAAAATTTTTATCGCTCCTGCAAGATAGCGGAATACCCAGAGCGGCAACGAGCAGCAGTATAAAAATAAGTTCAAGACGTATGGCACTGTGTGATCGTCAATCTGTCAGCCAAGCTGACGATTTAGGCAAATTCCCTCTACCACAGGAGAATGTACAGCCAACTTATATTATGGTTGTAACACTAATGGATCAGCACGACAGGGGAAGGACGTCGCTCTTACTGAATACCAGCGTAAAATATCAGCTTGATACTGCTGTGATACGTTTTACTGGAAACTAGACATCCTATCTTATTCCTTACGGGTGAAAATGCACCTGCATATTGATTCTTACTCGAGAATAGATGTAGATGTCTATAGGCCGCACATTAACTTAACATCAGGTGGACCGTGTGATCGTATGTCATCCTTATTCTATAAAAGAAATCCTTCGCCTTTTCATCAGCCCTTAACATTAAAAAATCGATCTAGCTAGGATATATTTTTAGAAAATGTCTTTTTGTCCGTGTTTTTAGGCAATGAAAAACTGCTACAATATCGTTGGAATAAGAAGGTAAATTTTGATAGATTGTTAATGATTACAAATAGCTTAATTGGTATTGTTGCATGAATAGGTCAACTAGCGCCATCTAGTGTCAGGAACGAGAGCGAGGGGAGCTTGGCAGTAAATGAGTAAATGACATCACAAATCTTTCGACCGACAGCGCCACCCGAAGAACTAAGTTTCTGGAAAATCTACACTCGAATACTCGTTGCCTGGCGCGCATTTACTTGAATGTTCGGGACGCTTCTTTGCTAATTATATAAATAGGCGCTGCAAGATGCGATCGGGGCAGAGTTGAACTCGGCGACACAAGCGAAGCTTCGGAGCGGAATTAAGTGAATTAGTGTGTTTAATTATTAGTGTTTTTAGTTTTAATTTGTGTAAAGTAAATTAAAGTGTTAATTTAGGTAATTTTATCGGCAATTTTTATTGTCACGAACCTCAAGCTCGTAACAGTATATAGGGCGGTCACAAAATTGTAAAACCCCGGTTCGAGCCCAGACCGACCGACCAACTTTTTTTAGTTTTTTTTCAAGTTCCTTTCTTTTTTTGAGAAAATCTATTTTTTCGAGCCCTTTTTTTTAGTATTTTTTAAAAAAATAAAAATAATTGCACTCATGATTTTTTATTCAAATAACCAGTTCCGTTTTTTCTGTTATGTCACTAAGATCAAAAAATATTATTTATATTTCATCAGTATGTAATTTGTATCTAAATATAATTTCCAAAACACACGAATTAAAAAAAAATAGAGCGAAAAATACCGAGCAAAGCTCGGTCAACCAGGTACTATCTAATATATTCAAGTTTTAATTTCCTCAGTCCAAAGTCAGTCCAAAGTTAATTTGTTAAAATCATAAGAAACACTGATGACGAGGGGTTTACTTCAAGTGGAAATCAAACTTACTCTTGAAATACTTTATCCTGCACGTCCTGGTGCATACCAAGCAGGACTAAAGTATATGCAATGACGAGCGCCGTGGTGTCGTTTCCAGCAATGGTAATGGAATCAATGTGTTCCCGGAGTTGATCGTCCGTGAACTCTATCTCGCGGTCGAATAGCATATCCAGGACAACGCGAAGTTTACCATCTGTAGTCGTAAATTAAAAATATACCTATAAATTAACGAGAAACGTCTTTCTAAACTAACCGATGGGAGAAAATGCAAGTCAGATAGTGAAATGAACATAAGTTTTAAAAAATTCGTTATCAGCCTTCAATTTCTAAGTGTTGCCCACACCAAGCAGTGCAAGTAGGTTGATGAGCGTAGAGCCGTGGAGGTGTACATAAACCACGTGGTTGTCAGGTTGCAGCTAGGACTGACTGTCCTATAATGAAATACATCACATAATATATATATATATATATATATATATATATATATATATATATATATATATATATATATATACCATATGTGGCGTGTGGAAGTATAGGATAGTAAGCCTTTTAATAAATATACTAAAATATTTAACCTTTATTGTACACCTTATAATACGGCATATAAAGGGCAGAGTTAATCCCTTTGGAATTCTCTGACTTACGTAGTTTGAAGTCGTCCACTAAAAAAATATTATGGATTAATAACAAAAAGGACCGAAATAAAGATTTACATACCTAGATCCTAGAAGCTAGAATCTGAGGTTGACGTTGATTCTCATGATTGATGATTATATAAAGTTAACGTATATATAAATATATTATTATAATTTCATTCCCATATATTTAATTTTAAACACATTTTTAGTTAGCAATTGTTAAAAACACTTCCATTTTTTACTTTTATGTTTTACTTTTTTCAATTTTTTTTTTAGTTTACCAATATGAACTTTCTCCATTTAAAAATACACACACATATATATATATATATATATATATATATATATATATATATATATATATATATATATATTCAACTTTCATGAGTATCGATAAAATAGATCTTGAGTTAAACATTTTCATATATCTATATAATACAAACATCCTCTTTCATAGGTGTAAAATGTAATGTTTATTTTAAATGTTAAATATTGTCACATAACACCATTAGATTTCGACACAAACACTCGAACACAATATTTGTATCCAATGTAACACTTTTATCATGTTTAACATTTTAAGTCTATATATGTAAAATTAGATTTATTAAAAATAGAAAAGCACATAAGCTTATATTTTTTTATATTATATTTTTCGTTATAAAAATGTCACTGAAAATTGTGAGGTCAGTGTCCTTTTATCAATGCTCTAAATGCGACCGCCTGCGGGGGCGATGTTACGAATTCTGTCCGGAAGGGCCGTGTAATATTTTAATTATGTAATGTTTGAAACATCTACATTTAAAAACGATTACATCAGTAAAGGAAGAGAAAAAAATCAGGTTACATTCGAATTTCAAAAAGTGAGAATAAGTGTATGCCTTCACTGTTCACTTATTGCCATGTTTCCAGCAATCTGGAAATAAAAGAAGTAGGGGTATAAGAATTTCGCACTACCCTCAATTGTACCACGGCACGGGTGTCGTAAAAGCGACAGAGGGAAACTGAAATAGGAAATGGGTAGCAGAATCTTCCTTATAACAACTCAAAATTATTAAAAAAAATTGTTGCCAGCTCACTTCCATTTGTAGTTAAAGGAAGGGTATAGGGTAATGTTAATTTTATCATAATTCATTTGATAAATATTTTAATTGGTTGCTATCATAATATTTATCAACGTTAGTCTGAGAAATTGAATTTAGATTGTGGTAGGTTTATGGAATTTAAACTCGAACTCTCAAAGAATGCAATTATTTCAAAGTTCGAGTTTAAATTTCACTGAAGCTAAAAACCGTCTCTACAATATGAAACTTGTGTTATATTCGGAAACTTAGTAAGAAAACTATTAAGACATAGGGTTTAAAGTGTAGGTAGATTTTTATCGCTTCTAAATTTATGTACAAACAATCCATAAAATATCACATAAGCAGTAAGCACCAATAACCCATAAACATTAAATGAAGAGAATTGCGCATTGTTACATTGTTTATCGAGCTGACGATTGCATGTTAGGACACTTCACACTTGTATTCTAATAATAGTTTAAAGTATGGAGTTGCTGTTCATACTGTACCACGTATAAATAATTCTCGTTTAATCTCTTTCGTCGTGGAAACTTCGACTTAAGGGTTGAAGCGCGAGGAAGAAAAGATAAGAAGGTAAATAATGATGAATTAAATGTAATGGTGGAAGCCGAACGCTTATCAAACAACCAAGGAATTATGCGTTGAATTATTTATTGTTGACTTTGATTTACCCACAATATTAACTCATGTGCACCAAATTGGTAAAATAAAAAAGAATCGACGCTCCGGGAAGTCTGCAGTCTGTGAACATGTACAGGATCGCCCCCGTCACTACATCAGATTTGATAGACCACAAATCCTCGCTAAAGAACACCGATTTCTTCCAAGGATGATTCGCGAGGCTATTGAAATCAAAAAACATCCTAATTTCAATAGAGAAGATGGCTGGGTGCTACCATCTGCTTGGGATCCTATAATAAATAAAGTTAAAACCCAACCCAAGCATACAACTGCAAGACTTCATGATACCATAAGTTCATACTGTGTAGATCGGAACAAAAGTTAAATTTTAATCTATGGTAACCGCGGTTAACTATGACATCTGGACGTTGAACATCTCAGTCCTTCCCGTGACCATGGGTGCTGTAAAGCTCTCGAAACGTCGGGTATTAAAAAGTTAAATATACGCGATAAATTCCGTAAAAACTAGTATTATTTCAATGTGTAGTGTTCGCGTAAATATAAGAAATCACTTCGGTAGAATCACATTATTATTACAATCGTATATATATATATATATATATATATATAAAGGCAAAAATAGCGCTGTCTCAAACTTCGATTGAGGTTGCAACCACAAGAGGCTGCCCACAAGGAGGTGTTTTGTCACCCTTCTTTGAACTCTTGCGGTTGACCAACTATTGTACAAAATGGCAGACCTACGCATTGACACATTGGGTTATGCTGATGACCTTGTGATCATTGCAAGGGGCTTTTGCCAAAGTACTTTATCGTCAATAATACAAAGAGCCCTAAACACCATAAGTAACTGGTGTAGGGATAGCAGTTTATCAGTTAATGCTGATGAAACTGTTATAATACCCTTAAAGAGACGTTTGGACAAATTAGCCCAACCAAAACTTAATGGCAAAGTAGTACCATTTTCCACGGAAGTTAAGTACTTGGGCGTAACAATTGACCAAAAACTAACGTGGAACTCTCACCTTAGCAACGTGGCATATGTTAACCATACGTTGGCCATAAGGCAAAAATTGCTTTAGGTACGTGCAGTCGTTTGGTCGGGAACAACTGGGGCTTGCGTCCCAGTATGGTCCTATGGCTGTACAGCAGCATAATAAGGCCGATTCTCACCTACGCCTCTATTGTCTGGTGTAACAACGCCAACCAAAAGACGACTGCGGACAGACTAAATAGTCTACAAAGGACTGCCTGCTTAATGGCTACTAGAGATATGCGATCATAGCCTGGAGCGGCTCTTAATGCACTTCTATGCCTAACGCCCCTTGATCTCTATCTAGAAAAGGAGGCGAGGGCTAGTTTGTATAGGATTAACGCCCAGGGCGGTCTGAGCTTGCTCTCGTACAGATTGAGATCCATGCTCGACTCAATTAAGGAATCACCGGTCTTACGCATGATCTCAGATATTATGCGTCCACTACACTCTTTTGATAAAAAGTATATAGTGGAATTACCCTCCAGAGAAGACTGGCTGAACGGCCAGGTTATATGTGAGGTCGGTAGCCTCATATGGTATACCGATGGGTCTAAAATGGGCCTCGACGTAGGCTTTGGAATTTACGGGGAACGCCCCAAATTCAAACTTAGTATGAATTTGGGTAGATACACCTCTATCTTGCAGGCAGAAATTTTCGCCATACTTCGGTGTGCGGAAATCAATCTGCAAAAACACTACGTCAACCATAAAATTTACATAAACTCTGATAGTCAAGCAGCACTGCTAGTGCTGAGATCAAACTTAGTGAACTCAAAGCTAGTTGGAGACTGCGTGAACCGTTTAAACGCCCTGGGTTGTAACAACAGGGTCGGTTTAAGATGGGTTCCGGGTCACGAGGGTATTGTAGGCAACGAATTTTCCGACAAACTTGCACGGGAGGGCTCAAAGTGCACACAATTTGGACCCGAGCCATTTTGTGGAATCTCAAGAAGCCTAGCCCGATTGACCCTTGAAACTCTTTATCACAATAAATCACTTAAGATCTGGTCTGACACACCAGGCTTAAAACATTCTAAAACCTTAATCCGGGCTTTTGATCGTAAATTCGCTTCAGAAGCACTGGGATTAAGTAAAAATAAATCGCGCATTCTGGAAAGAGCCCTAACTGGACATTGTTGTCTTAAAAAGCACATGTCCATCCTGGGACTAAGCAACTCAAGGATGTGTCGGTTCTGTTCCGTAACGGAAGAAACATCCTAGACACATCCTATCCGATTGCGGAACTTTAATGCGCAAACGTAACACTCATCTGGGACACTATCTACTCCGCCCAGAAGAAGTGAAATTGCTCACGGCTAAGCAACTCCTTCGATTCATTGAAGACATAGGGCTTAGCAGTGAACTATAGCCGTAGCAGCGATCACAATAGATCTTTTAGGTCGCAGTGATACTGGTCTCTTTACCTAGACCTGCATAGCTGCTCGCATATAATAAAAAAACATATATATATATATTAATCGTATTAATAAATCGATATTGATAAAAACAGTTGTTATAATCACTAGTTTTAAAAATTAGTGATTATAAATTACAATAACTTTATTAATTATAATTCTTCGAATCTAATTAAGTTACGTTTCGTGAAAATCTAGTACCATATGAACCTAGAGGGACAAATAGAAGAGCAAGCGTTGACGTCATTTATCAACATGCGTTGACGACATTCATCAACATACGTTGACGTCATTCATCAACATGTGTTGACGTCATTCATCAACATGAGTTGACGTCATCAAAGTCATCATTCATCAAACAAGGCAAAGTTCGATGAATGATGACGTTTAATCGTTAACGATGAAATCAAATAGAAAACAATTTATTGATACATAATCATCTCAATATATATCACACCTAAAATATTGATTACAGAAATTCGGATACGGATACGGATACTGATAACAAAATTTAATGAATAGTACAAAACTAGATTTAAATTTAGACAGGGACTGATTAGGGAGCGAGAACCTAACCTACCCGTACCAGTTGCTATGAAACGTTTATATAATAATATCGACGGCATTTCAAGATGCTCACTTATGGCCAAATACTCAAACAACACTCAATTTTTAGATGTCGTTAAGTGGCGTGCTGTCACAGTCATTTTGACTTAAAGTGATGGAGACAGCACGAGACTTAACGCCATCTTAAAATTGAGTAGCGTTTGAGTGTTTGGGCATTAGAGACATTAGACGATCACCATACAACAAAATCCGAAACACAAAAGTTGTATTTTTGCATAAATATTGGTTCCGGCTGTCCTTACAACCTATGACCTGTCTACATACATAAGTGGTTTTGGAAATCTACTGTACAGGTACCTGATCTAATCAGATTACATATTAGCTTAGGTAAAGTAAATAGTGAACTAACAAGTGTTTTGGTAACTAGTTGTTGAACTAATGTTGTTTTTTTTTTCATAGAACATTTATTATTGAATATTATTAGAATCTTTAAATTCAAAAAGTCAATGTGGACTCTGTTGTCAAATGTTTGCAAATGTACGGAATAAGATAATAAAAATTAATGTGCTAGAGAGCGAAAAGTTTTTAAAGCTCTATTGGTACTTATTCGCACACAAAAAAAATTCTTAAGAAATGAATTCATAAGAGCGATTTTTTTATATATTATATTATTTTTTTATAAAAATAAATATCTACTGGGTTTCTCCCCGAAATGATATTTTATTGTCCACATAATAATATATATATGCCATATACCATAATGCCAAATACCTGATTGTTCAGTCGGTTTTGATTTATTCCTTTCGTGTTCCAGTCTTCTCTTACGGACAACCTAGAAAAATGATAAAATTACATATTTACATATGATCTTACATCAGAAGTTAGCCTAAATAAGTCTTAAGTGAAATGACAATTAAATTTGAGTGTTTTATATGTTTGTATGTAAAAAAAATAATGACTAAGCCTTACGCAGAACAACATTACATTAAAATGAATTATTAATAACGTAAGGGTATAAAAAGACAAAAGCGTCTTTTTTGTAGGATAAGGGTGACAAACGATCACACAGTCCACCTGATGGTAAGTGGATGCTGAGGGCCATAGATTACATTTAACCTCGATAAAGAATGTAGATAACATTGACACCCTTGAGGACTAAGATGGAATGCCTCAATTCCAGTAAAACGGGTCTCCAGTTCTCTACACTTACCATACGAAACACAGCAGCATTAAGCTGCTATTTTACGCAGGAATTCTGTGAGAGCGTGGTCCTACCCCGGTCGAGCCGACCCATTCATGCTATAACCATAATAGCTGCAGCGTGGCTCTACCACGTCTAAAACGTCTTCTAATTTTGCTATCAATACATAATATAAAATGCGTTATTATCCCTAAAGACTAAGATAAAAAGTCGTTATCCGCAAAAAAGATTTTTTCAGTTCTCTACACTTACCATTAAAGTCATTCTAAGCTGGAATTTTGTGCGAGCGTATACTTTCACCGACTCATTTGTGCTGCACAGCACACATAAAAACGCTGCAGCGTGGCTCTACCACGTAATCTAACATTTTGTATTATACAAACATGAGACTTACTTTTGTAATAAAAATATGTGTCTTACCTAGTTCGAAGAGCCCCTCCCGCCCTCCCTCATTGCGTGCACTACTCCCGTCACCACCAGTCCCAGCAACACTACTCCCAACACCACTGTTCCCAACCTCACTATTCTAGGAATGCTTATTTAATTGAGCGGATGGTTGCAAAGTAACTATTAATATCTTTATTATAATGGATTTCGGCAAAGTAACGCCTGATTCTATCAATTAAGTTACTTTTGTGTGCATTGCTTCAAGACCTAAAATCCTTCTTCTTCTTCTTATCAGCTCCTTATAGTCTACTGCAGGACATTTGACTTTCCTATTGCACTATAGATTTCCCATGGTCGCCATGTTTGGCAGGCTGATTGGCTATATATATAGATTCTCTAACAGAGTTATCACACGACAACTCATGAATTATAATGGCATATTTAGAACATGGCAACATGAGTTTTAATTTGTGAGAGACCTTCAGATTGCCCTGGCATTTCTCATAATCGTCTATTACGACGCACACGGAAAAAGTTATGCACAGAATGAGGTCATGGATTCTCTTACGGCACCACCACACGGTTATTGCATTTTACCTAAGCTTTAGAGGATAATCGGGCTGCAAGAAATTGTAAAAATAGGTTTTAAACGACCTAGTGCGGCCGAGCTAGACAACCGAGAGAGACAGTTCAGGCTGATTTTAGCTAATAAAATAGAAGAAATCATTATCCCGTATTCCCCTGTTTCCTTCTTCAAAACCAGACGGATTGTAATATTTTGAAGAATGTACTATGTGTTTGCTGGATGCCTTGCGGTGGTATAACTGGGCGTCAAAGATTCCCACTTCCTAGTATTTAAAATAACTAAATTATTGATAAAAAACCGCAAGGAACATGGCATAGTATTTAAAGATTGTATCTTAAAAATATATTTTCTAGTGTTATTAGAGGAAACAGAGAAATATGTTTGTATGGCCTAAACACTACCCGGATATCCTCTAGTAATGCCATTTGTTTTTGTGGGTAGGTGTTAGCATTACTATTGATTAGTAAATAGTTCGAAAAGTTACCTCGTTCGTGAACTTGTGAGTGTAAGCAATATTTTCTCTTAATTGCTTCGCGTAGGGTGTCAAATTAAATAGGCAATCCGGCTGCAGCCACAATTTGAAAAAGCGCATATTTAGTATGGTCATAACAGTATGACGAGCACGAAGGTACGGGGAATCTGTTGAATGCTGTATGTCCATCTCTTCACCCATCGACGTTTCTGTTAGAATATCAGCTTGTTATCAATTTACTTGTGAACTTATTTTTCCTGTAGGCTATTGTCCGGCAGTGGCACTGAAGGTACTTGTATTATTGTGATTTTCGTTTTCATCAAGAAGGTATGAAACATATCGCAATAAGCATAATATAATCTCTATATATTTTGCTATTTAGAATCACTTTGAATTATATAAAAGATAAGCAAATCTTCAACAGCTATACATTTTAAGTAAATTATTATTATTGATATTGAAATATATGTAAAGATTTTTTTTAAATTTCGCAATATGTTTATATACGTAATTAAATAGTAACTTATTACCAATACTAGCAAGATTTTAATCTTGCAAGTATTTACAAAAAACATGACTTTATTTGGAGTTTATAGGATGGTGTTAAAAACTATAAGGATATAGATAAAAATCAAAGTATTCTACTAATACTTATAAATTACAGAATATTGACAAGTTCCTGCACTTACCAAAAACAATATCTACAGTACAAGCTGTCACATATTGGAAAACATCGAAATATTCCTTGTTAACTTGTTCACTGAGCCTCTCAACAAGAATCTCAGCTCGTTCTCCGATAACATTTAAATATTCTTCTATCACTTTGTTATGAAATATGGGCAGTAGAACTTTTCTATGAGATTTCCATAGATTCACTGAAATCAATATTATTATTTGTGTGTCTACAAATATTTTCTCCGCGGATGTCTTTGTAAAGTTCAAGTCGATTTTTTTTGACCAAGAGAAATGGCCAGGGATTTATAATTTCATTCACTAATTCATTACAAGCCCTATCAAAGCCTACTGGTGAAAATAGTCTTCCCCCATTGACAGTGCCATATTTTCCATAGTTGCACGCTTGACATGCGGGTAGGCAACTGCAGTTTTTGTCATTTTGAGCTGTTATCAAAAAGATTCTGCTGCTTATATCCTGTTTTAGTTTCAATCTGTGTCCCATCTTAAGATGCCAGATCTTAGGATGGATGATCTTAGGATGCCAGGGATATGGGGTAGTAGAATTTATAATAAATAGTTAATTAGAAATGGCAGATAACCATAGGATTGAACCATTTCGCTCATAGAACAATTAAATAACGAACAAGTGTTTCAAGACGGAAGTTCTCCACTTCTGGATATATGACTAAGGACGAATTTCTAGGTGGAAGAACAGATGAAATCCGCAAAGAATAATTTAGGATGAAATTTTACAGGCAACAAGATTAACCATTTAGAAATACTTACATGGGGCTATAAAAAGACCATGTCCGAGCCACGGTCTTAGAAAACGATAAACCCTGTCTTTATCTAAGCAGTTTTCCAAAACAACTTTTGCATCTTCTGCGTTGCTAATAGCTGTGTGAAAAAATAATTTTATATTTAGAAGCTTTCAAAAGTTACAGCCTTAATATGTCTCAGGGCTAGATATCGACCCTCACTTCTCGTTATTGTTGGCGGACTCCACATGTCCTTGAAATATTTTACCGGCTTACTATACTTTATAATTATATATTCTCTTCGAGGGATTATCATATTACGTAAAGTTATCATAGTAACTGAATTATAATATACTAAAAAAGGACGTTATTTTTTATCGAATAAGGGTGACCTATGAGCACACAGCCCCTGAGCTATCACGACAATCACATTAAAAAGTGCGAGTGTTGCATATTCAGATAATTACATTTTTATAGGATAGGGTGACAAACGACTGCACAGTCTATCTGATAGTAAGTGGTTACCATCGCCCACAGATATCTACATCTATCTTCGACTACGAATCAAAATGCAGATGCGTTGTCACCCATGAGGACAAAGATGGAATGCCTCGTTTCCAGTAAAAAGGGTCTCCGGTTCTCTACACTCACGACATACGAAACACAGTAGCATAACGCTACTATTTTATTTTGTGAGAGCGTGGTTCTTTCCCGGTCGATCCGATCCATTCGTGTTTCAATTATACTGCTGAAATAACTGCACTACCACGTATAAAATATACCAATAAAAAAACTAATATTCAATACAGATAAAAGAATTAGCGTGTATCTTTCCGTTTATAAACGATATTCCGTTTTCAAATAATTCATCTGTTTAACCTCATCCCTTTTCTCCGAGCAAAGCAAGATCGTCTGTATGGTCTTAATTTGGGTTGGCGTAAATGAAATTCCTATTATCACCAATTATACTATATTATACTATAATATTTTCTGTATGAATATGAAAATGGTTTCCATACGTATTCAAGTAATTAACTCATAAAGCGATTGAATGATAGTGTAAATAACTTACCCACATATAACTTTGGACCAAACCATAGTTTTACGGCGCCCTTATTTTTATAACTAATGTCTGCTATATCATCAAGATTCTTAACGAGTTCTGCAATTTAGATAGAATTTGTAAGTCAGTTGCTCGGCAATGTGTACGCCGTTAGATATCGTCCCTTTGGTATTTGTAAGAGTCGATGTAGATATATATATATACAAATTACATACTGATGAATAATATTTTTATGATATTATCGATATAATATTATAGATTATTATTGATCTTATTGACATAATAGAAAAACTGAACTGGTTGTTTGAATATAAACTCATGAGTGCAATTGGTTTAATTAAAATTTTCGTATTTTTAAAAAATACTGAAAAAAGGGCTCCAAATAATAGATTTTCTCACAAAAGAAGAAAACTTGAAAAAAAAGGAAAAAAAATCGGACCGAAGATAGGACGCGAACCAAGGCATTACGATTTCGCGACTGCTCGATATCCACTTGAGCTATTACGATCATTAATAAATTGTCAAAATTTACCTTCTTATATTGTATATATTAGACCAAAAAGACATTTTCTAAAAATAAATCCTAGCTAGATCGATTTATTGCCCCCGAAACTCCCCGGACACTAAATTTTATAAAAATCGTTGGAGCCGTTTCCGAGATTCCGATTATATATATACAAGAATTGCTCGTTTAAAGGTATAGCATATATATAGGCCTCCCCCAAGTAATGCCACAAAGCACGGTCCTGAGCCACCTGCATCCATCGACTTCCTGCATGTCTTACCAGGTCGTCACTCCATCTAGTGGGGGGTCGCCCTACACTACGCCTACCGGTATGAGGCTGCCACTCGAGAACCTTTCTTTCCCATCGGTTATCGGTTCTTCGAGCTATATGGCCGGCCCATTGCCACTTCAGCTTACTCATTCGTTGGGCTATGTCAGTCACTCTGGTTTTACTGCAGATATCCTCATTTCTCAGTCTATCACGCAGAGAAACTCCGAGCATAGCCCTCTCCATAGCTCGCTGAGCGACCTTGAGCGTTCTCATACGGCTAGCAGTGAAGGACCACGTCTCAGATCCGTAAGTCATCACTGGCAACACGCACTAGTTATACACTTTAGTTTTCAGAGATTGAGGTATACCTGACGAGAAGATGTGTCGTAATTTCCCGAACGCTGCCCAGCCGAGTTGAATCCGTCGATTGACCTCTCGATCGAAGTTGGACTTACCTAGTCTGTAACCATGTCCCAGGTAAACGTACTCGTCAACAACTTCGAGCATAGTGCTCCCAACAACTACCTGCATAGGTGTGACATGGACATTAAACATGATCTTTGTTTTGTCCATGTTCATCTTAAGACATATCCGTTGGGAGACACCATTGCGGTCATTGAGCATAGCGCTAAGGTTCTCCAGCGATTCTGCCATAAGGACTATATCGTCGGCAAATCGAAGGTGAATGATGTACTCGCCATTGATGTTAATACCGTATCCTTTCCAGTCCAGTAGCTTGAAAACGTCTTCCAACGCAGCGGTGAAGAGTTTCGGGGATATAACATCACCCTGTCTTACACCTCTCTGTAGTTGGATAGGTTTCGAACTCCGGTTCTGTACTCGGATAGCCATCGTAGCCCTACTGTACAAACACTTCATCACTACGATATACGGACAGTCAACTTGGCACCGCTGAAGGGACTGTAGCACCGCTCAAATTTCGACGGAATCAAAGGCTTTCTCATAGTCCACATATGCCAGGCAAAGTGGCAGATTGTACTCTTCGGTCTTCTGTACAATCTGCCGCAGGGTATGTATGTGGTCTATGGTACTGAAGCCTTTTCGGAAACCGGCTTGTTCGGGGGGCTGGAAGTCGTCGACAACGATGATATGTACAGCTGCCCATAGAACCTCACAATCTCACTCAGAATCTCAGGTGTCCCGGAAACGATGTTGCCACACTCAGTCTTCAGCTTTGACAGTTGGCTCTTTCTGGCAGACAGATCTCTGGCAAAGACTTTGGAGCCCTGGTCCCTCTCGATCGCATCTTTAATACGAGCAGTATTAAAGTTGCGTAAGTCTCGCCGCATGCATTTGGAGATCTGTCTGTTCGGTTGCCTGTATGCTGTCAAATCTGTTGACGATTGCAGCCTCATCTCCCGTCTAACAGCCATGAGATTAAGAGTGTGTTCGGAGAGTTTTTGTGTTCTTCTGCGGCGGGTCTTGCAGAACTTAGCTCCGACCGCATGGACAGTTTCCACGAGCTTGTCATTAAAAACGCATTGCAATCCTCTAGGCACTGAAAGCGGTTATGTAACTCGAGCTGAAAAATTTCGGGATTCTGGATTAGAGCACGAGGGGGACGGAGCGTTGACTTCATTAGACGAGACCTCTCCAACTTAACGTTTAGGTTCAGTGCCTCTAACCATTCGGTGATCGCTGCCAGTTTTCACACTTGCGAGCACTGAGACATCACTGAATAGTTGGCGTCTGGTCGTCATAATGAAGTCAATCTCATTTTTTGTCGAACCGTCGGGGCTCGACCAGGTCCACTTCCTGTAGGGCCGCTTCTGAAAGAAAGAGTTCATCATAAAGAGTCCCCCTTTCTCCATAAAGTCGGCCAGCTGCTGGCCGGTTCCGTTGCCTTACTCCAAATTTCCCTAACTTCAGCTCACCGTTTTCTCTTGTGCCTAGTTTTGCGTTGAAGTCTCCCATCAACAACGTGTAGTGGGTTTTGGAGGAATGTATGGCTCTGGAAATATCCTCATACATTTCCTCCACCTCCTCATCGGGATATGCCGAGGTTGGTGCGTAAACCTGTATGACCTTCAGCGAATACAGTTTGGTGATTCTGAGTATCAGGTACGCGACCCTCGTCGACACACTCCCAATCTTTACAACGTTGTTGACGAGAGACTTGTGGACGATATATCCGACACCTCCTTGGGACAGATGGGCGCCCTCCCAATGATAGATCAAGTTGCCGGACTCGAGGATTACCGTGTCCTCCTCCTCTCTTCGGACCTCGGATAATCCAATAATATGCCAGCGCAACTAGTCTACCTCTTCTTCCAGCTCCAGTATCTTCTCGTCAGTCCTCAGGGTGCGTGGGTTATATGTTGCCAGGTCGTAAGTGGCAACCGAACCCCCATTGGGGATTCTTTGCACCTCCTGCCCCGCCGTTACCATGGTCGCCACCGTAGCCAGAAATAGCGGGGCCACCGGGGACTGGGGGCCATTTGTTTGCGTCGTTATTTATGGGGGGATATTTGCCATAGTTGCCACGCTTGGCGAGCGGATTGGCAATCGCAGTTTTTTAATACATTACTGTTGTTATCAGGAAGATGCTGCTGCCCATCTCCTGCCTGTCTCCCTCTGTCGCCTCCTACGACACTCACGGGAAGATATGGGGTAGTAGATATTCTCAACCGCCACTACACGGCAATATATATATATCTAACATAGACTCTTATATATTATATCAGAATACAAATTCAAGGAGAATATGTCAAAAGAAATACCTAAATAGGCAACGAGGAGCAGCGTCAAAATGTGGAAAAACCGGTATTGCAATCACCACGAATCCAAGAGTAGTGATTGTGGCATTGTCTCCTTGGTACGGATAGGCCTATGTTTAGCAGTGGGCTATATTCCCTTTCCAGTCCCAACATATGAGTTTTCGCTGCAACTCCCCACAATGAAATACAATACCTACGTTATGACAGATTGGCAAAAAGCCTTGTACACATATAGGAGGAAGTGGCTATCTGCAATTTCTCTTAGGTTGTGGTGTGGTTAGGTTGGTGAAATTTGAAATATGACGGTTTCAAGTTAGCTTCTTGTCAATTGTCCCTCCTCACATTGTCTGCTTGGAAGTAAGAGTGTTGCATGGGAAAGTGTGCATCTTGACTTTAAAGCTGCTGGAGTAATTAGTAGCCTCTGTTATCCTAAAACATAGATATTTCGTCGTATGTTTAACGATAGCAAACTATTTTCCAGAGCCTTCGAAACTCCACACAGTCCTCTTTCTGCAAGTGCTTGCACACCATCCCAAGTCTGATGATGAAATAGCAGGAGAATGTCATCTGAGTACATTAATAAATCAGCACATTCTAATTCTATGTGGCAGAGATCGTTAACGTACAGCAGATAATATAGGGGTTATAGTGGCTATTTTGAAAACAGCTGGGAAAACCCTTGTTTCCCTTGTTTACATTAATAAATCAGCTCCTTCTAATTCTATGTGGCAGAGATCGTTAACGTAGGTACAGCAGATAATATAGGGGTTATAGTGGCTATTTTGAAAACAGCTGGGAAAACCCTTGTTTCCAGGCTCAGGTTTATAAATAACATAGTGAATTAACGAGAATATCTATTGATTGTTTTATGATCTTTGCACTAATCTTATCCCATCCAGGTGTTTTTGCATCCTTCATTTCTGTTTTATAATTTTCTTTATCTCTATTGGGTCAGTGGGTACGAACATTATTGATATATTTATAAAATAAGACCCATGTATGTAAACGCAACTATAAATTATTGAAGAGTACTGTCTTTTGTTCATTAAAAATAAGTATAATTTTTAATAAAAATTCTCTATTTCTTTACTAAAACTAATACTAAAGAAAAGAGCTTAATTATAAGTTTTAAAAATTTAAGTGAGAAATGATTGCTAAACAACTTGAATGTTAAGTCTAATATTTGTATGAAACTGAGAGAACTTGATGTTTAATTTTGTGTTTTTGACAAAGTTCGACGATTTAATTTTCTTCCTTTTTTACAATATGAAGTCTATTTGTTGCCATTCTATATATTAGAAGATTGATTAATTTTATGTATTTAGTGATACATTACATTGACGAAAGAATCATCAAAATTCGACAAGGTTGTTGTCAGAAGAGTTTGGTGTCAAATATACATTTATGAATAGAATAAGTCTTGTAATGTCGAACACGTAAATTTATGTAAAAGCTTTTCAAGTTATCACTTAGGTAACTTCTTTATTATTTATTAGTTTGCTAACTATCTCATTATATTGATATTAAAGAGCTAATTTGACACTTACTTTCACCGTCTCCCAAAAATATCATAGCATTTCCTAGTACAGGCAAGGAGGGTGGAACGGGCAGTGATGCGGTGGCGCGATCCAAACGCTTCGCATAAGCTTTCCAATATGCCAAATAGATGCACAGGATCATCACCAGAACAACCAAAATTATCATGACTCTGGTTTAATATAGTAAAAACCTGTAGGTATAAAAATGAAACAAATTAAAGAAAACTAAAAGCTGAATAGAAAATCAATAAGCTGGAGTGGCAATGGGTCGGTCATATAGCTTGAAGAACCAACAACCAATGGAGAAGAAAGATTCTGCATTGGCAGCCTCGAACAGGTGAGCAAGCAACAACACAACAACTCTGGCAAAATTGTGGTGTCATTTACATGCATTAAGTTATTTATAAACCCATTCTCGTCTAATAAGTTATACTTAACTTAGATAATATTGCAACATAAATTAAAATTTAAATAAATCTTCGAAACAATTTAAAAAAAGATTTTCTTGAACCATAGCTACGAACCCTCGATCAAGCCACCTTTCAAACAAAAAAAAAAACGACGGGTTGCACTCCGGAAGTGCCGGCAGAAGTGAAAACTTGAATATTGACGTTATGCATTTTTGATATTTTGGAATGGTTAGGGAATAATTTTGCACGAATTACTTTAATTATCACTATAAAAGTACTATCATTTATGTGGTAGAATACAATATTTATTTATTGCGCTATCGTACACAAACATGACAATTTATATTGTATTCGCGCAAGCGCCCTGCGCCTCATAAACGAAACAGCAGGCGCAGGCATACATTTTCGCCACGCCGTGGAAAGAGAGGAGGATACTTCCTCTCCTACGCCACACCGGCTGTCTCTCTCTCTCCATCCGTCTTACGAATTTTCGATCAGGGTCACGTGTCCTGACGCGAGTTTAACATCTTTTACCCATTACAAAAAAGTGTACAACGCCGCTAAAGAAGTTTTCACTTCAATAAACTAAATCTAAATCGGTTCATCCCTTTCTGAATTAAGAGCCGTGGTAGCTCAGTGGTTTACGCTCGCTGTAAATATAACAGAACGCGAGTAACCCGGGTTCGATCCCCGCCGGCACCAATGAAATTGTTAATTGCAATTTTAAGTGCTGATTTACCACGTGCTCGGCGGTGAAGGAAAACATCGTGAGGAAACCTGCATGTCTGAGGAAAAAAAAATATTTCGAAGACATGTGAAGTTCGTCAACACGCATTTGGGCAGCGCGGCGGACACTTCCTTGCCCTAAACCCTCTCAGAAATGAGGGGAAGCCTGAGCCCAGCAGTAGGACGTATATAAGCTGTAACTTTACTTTACTTTACTTTGTGAATTAAGTCCACCTGATGGTAAGTGGATGCTGTGGCCCATAGATATCTACCTCTATCTTCGATTAAGAATCAAAATGCAGGTGCGTTGTTACCCCTGAGGACAAAAATGGAATGCATCGTTTCCAGTAAAAAGGGTCTCCGGTTCTCTACACTCACTATACGAAATCCAGCAGCTTTATACTGCGATTTTACGCTGGTATTCTGTGAGAGCGTGGTCCTGCCATGGTCAAGCCGACCCATTAGTGCTACAACTGACGTGGCTCGAGCGTGGCTCTACCACGTAAAATATGTATGTATGTAGTTCAACTATCAAAGGAATTAAAAATAATGTAAGCAGTAAGTTTTGCAGTGGAAAAATTTTCATTGATACATCGGTAATCGGTATCACTATGCTATTACTGCTACATGCTATATGCTATGCTATTACTGCAAAATGTAAGTTTGTGATCTTCAAAAATATTTTCGCAATTTAACTAAAAATTTACGATTTTCAAATTTTTTTCTTTATGCTGTAAAATCTTGCTTCTTGTCAAATTTAATGATTCTACGTTAACGAGAAGTACTCTATTACTAGATCACGATCATGAATTATAATGCTATGCTAATGGACTTCTAAAGACCTCACTTGCAAAAAGGAAAATAATGATAATTTTAAATAAGTATTAATGTAATTATAAGAATATAATATTTGGTAGCTTTTTTGATTTTTTAATTGTTATTGTACTTGTAGCAGTTCAATCATTTCTAATGATATTTAACATTCTATCAGAGCTTTACACACTGTGCGACAATGATTCGAAAGCCTTTGCAAAGTCTATAAATGCCAGGATGTATTTGTTTTTCGTTTTTTTCTATTACCTATTCCAGAGTATATATAATTGGAGGGGTGCTTTCATGGCGCAAGAAAATGATTCTTTGAAATCTATCTCCTCCGTAACCCGTAGGCCAATTTACATAATTTTTTCGACAATATTTGTAGCTCAACGCAGACAAGGTTTGTAAACAATAAATATCTGAATTTGTCTAAAAATATTAAAAAATAACCAAAAACTAAATTGTCTATGGGAAAATACATGTCAAGCAAAAGCACGGGCTTTTGTAATAATTATTGAGAAAAGAATTAATTTAAAACAACTGCAATGTGATCATTGACTTATATATTACTAGCGTAAGGGCCGGGCCGACAGAACGACTAAAACGGACCAGTGCGCTGGCCCTAAAATTACAGTTTAGGGCCAACGCGAATCGGTCGACAGTGGTGCGCGCGCAGGACGGATTTGCCTGTCATAAATATGTCTAGTTGCGTGGTAAAAGAATGCAAAAAACGATACAAAGATTTTTTTAAAAAACATAGGATATCGTATCATCGGTAAATAACCTTATATTAATTTTGTTACAATTAAATTATTATATAAACGCATTTTTAAAGTTTTATTTTACAGTTAGTTTAGTTACGTTACCAAGATTAGGCCAGGGTTGGATTCAAATTAAAATTACACTATTTAAAAAAAATTATATCACATTTGACGTTTAATGTTTCTTTTTCTCATGTGCCTGAATTTTGGCGTTCACGTGTCTAGTTTATCTATGCGTTTCGTTTTATGACGGTTTTATTTTTATTTATGTTTAATTTTTGTCTAAAGAACTTATTGTAAGTTAAATTTTGAATATTGGTTTGAAAATTTTGAATATTGATATGGTACCTAATATATTTTATATTCAATAAGGGTAAAACGAAAAGAGTACAAAAGAAACCATATCTGCTTATTTGAATCTGAATATCTGATTCATAATATATTTTATATTCAATAAGGGTAAAACGAAAAGAGTACAAAAGAAACCATATATGCTTATTTGAATCTGAATATCTGATTCATAATATATTTTGAAATTCTGTTCCCAAACCGATTGCTTCTGGAGCAAAGTGTTTTTACCGTGGTAGCGCCTCATTATAGTTGTATCAAGGATGCAACATAAATGCATCGATCGAGCATCGATGGACCAGAAAGGGAGCTAATTCTAATTTTATTAAAAAAACGCGGTACTGATGTACAATACAGAAATTCTCGATAACGTAGGGTTAATATTAAAATGTAAAAGGACCCGATATTATTACACATTGACTTTTACGTAAAACTGTGGTGTTTTCGCTTATGATATGATACTATGTACTACAAACTATGGAAATAATGGTACAATTAGGATAATTATACTACGAAATCCGACCCTGGTTACGTCGTGTTTTGATATGACGTTTGTATTATGACAGATGCACTACTTTTTCTTGTATGAAAAAGTTATGAGTAAAATATTTAGATGGGCCTATCCTTTCTTTTGAAATCATTGAATGTGATTGAATCTTTTGTTGAAATAAAGATAGTTATGACTAGACTTTTACTCCGCTCCGTTTATGATGCTAGCAAAATGTTTTAACTTTGCATCTGCACCGGCCCTAGTATAGTTTGTAATTTTAATAGAAACTTATTCATTTATACGTAACGCCTACAACTTAAAACACATATATATATATGACATACTAATGATCTGATCGATATTCAAGGGATTTAAAATATTGTTACTTTTGTTTACTCGTATTTCGTGACTTTTTTATTTAAGCATTCTAACCAAACCTAGTTTAGTGACGGGATACTAAGTACACATAACATAGTTAGCTCGCCTATCTTCGGTTTTTGAATATATTTTTTTAAATTTTTGGTCTAATCTACGCAGAAAGGTAGCCGGGCTAACTATGACATCGGAACGTAACGCACCCGAAACGTCGGGTATTAAAAAGTTAAATTAAACGCAATAAAATGCGTAAAAATAGTTTCATTTAATGTGTGTCAGGAGGTATTGTAATAAAAAGTTAACATTACAATGAGTTCAATTTTATCTCATTTAAATTTATTATTTTTCATAATTTTTATAATAATCTGTTATAGTTTTTACAAAATTTTAAAGAATTTAATAATAATGAAATCTTTTAAGCATAGTTACGGAATTATATGACTCAAATAATATATAATATACCATATGATTTTACCTGTTTTGAATATAACCGAATAAAAGTAAAAAATAACACACAAACAAAAAAAACACCACCAAAGACGAAATAATCTGGCGATATATAATATAGTATAATATTTATTACGAATACTCACACTTTATTTTGTCAAATATTATGCTCGTCGAAAAATTTTACTATATTTTGTAAATTGTTTTAAATTATGGTTATGGTAAATACGGTTGCCGGCAAAGACTCGCTAATACAGACTCAGGTTGTCATAACTTTAAATCTTCCTAACATCGTCAACTTGTTTAGTTTTGCCTCTAATCAAATGTTTAAACACGACACTGGAATTCCGCAAGTACTCGAGCAAGTTGCGGATAATAAGTTGACATAGTTGATTTCCGATTGAAATCATTTATCAAAATAGTAATTACTATAATATGTATTTTCATATGTAAATAATATACGTACTAAGAATCAGTCTGTAAAAGTTTTTAAAGTAAATATAGTTTTATTCAATATGTAGTGTTCGGGTAAAATTAAGAAATCATTATATTAAATGTAATTAATTTTGTATAAATAACAACTATTAACCGCATGAAGTATAAATTCAGGTACTTACCTACCTAATATTATTAATTTGACTGCCTCGTTGGTCTAGTGGTTGTTGTAGTGCGACTGCTGATCATGAGGTCCTAGGTTCGAGTCCCGGGTGGGGCCAAAAATCAATTACCTATTGAGTGTTTTCCATCAAGAAATTTTCAGTAGCTGCTTGGAGTCAGGAAGTTGGCGGTGTCT